TCAATGATAACATTTAATTCAAAACATAAATGATGTTATTATATATCAAAATATGCAATTAATGCATATCTTTGTTCGATTCTCTCATGAAATGGCTATTTTATCTATCGTTGACTGGGAATTTTGAATGAGCCACATTGGACTAGGGTAACGCGAGTATTAATAACTTATGACACCGTTGCATTTTCTAATATTATTTTCAGCGAAAGGAAATAAAAGAATTAAAAATAAAATGTTATCATAATATTGTAAAACAAGTCGTTAATAAAATTAATAAAAAGAGCAAATAAAATACGAAGTAAAAATGTGTGTATAATAATATTAGCTTACCAATTTCGACTTTAGCACTACAAACCGCTCTACCAGCCGCGTTCTCTGCTACGCAAGAGACAGTACCGACGTGTGCATCTCTGACTACAGGAATTGTTAAAACTTGTCGATCTCCGCTAACGGAAACTAGAAAATCTTTCCCATGAACCGGCCGCTCGTTAAACAACCATTGAATCTGTAAAAAAAAAAGTTTGAATAATAAAACCTGTTAATTAATCCGTTAAAAATAAAGCAATGGACACGTATACATGTGTATCAAGAGAAAAATATATGAGTTCCTGTGCTTCCGTTATATTCGACAATTTTGAAAAGACGAGAAAGGTGTTAACGAAGTACCTCTGTGACAAGTCCATGATGCTTCGCACCGCATCGAAAGTTCCATCTTATGCTCCGCGGCACGACTGCAATCGAGCTTTTCACATGAAGTATATTGTTCGCGTTTAAATATAACTCGTCGGGCACAAAATTACTTTCGCCCCGTTTCTGACAGGCGTGCCAACCTTTCATTTAGACGTTGTTTACGTGACCAATGCAAATTTTAAAATTTTCAAAAATCACAAATCAAATAATCTTATTTACAATTAATTATTAGATAATGCTTGAGACGATTTTACAAAACAAACACATATAACATAATATTCTATTAAATTTTTTTCTCTATAATGTTTGATATTGCTTATATTAATTTATTATTTATTTTATTATTTATTATATATTATTTTATTACAGTATAAATATAGTAGAGAGCGCCTAGGCTCTACTATTTTATTACTTATGAGGATCAAATAAAAAATTGCATTATTCTTAATATTATAAATTATAATATTTATTGCTCTTTTTTTTATGTAATGATACTTATAAAGCTTATTTTATCAAAAATGAGTAAAATAATGTTATCTTTATGTTTATATATACAAATTCTAGTTAACAAAAATTTTAAGACCACTAATTTTTTCATCCCTATTAGGATTTCAGTGTAACTGTCTTTCAAAAAGAATAATTATTTGTTTCATTACTCGCAAAAATATAAAAGTATATAATATTTGAAAAAATTTATACTGCGTAGGTAAAATTAAATTATCTACCTTAGGAGAAGGTTTACCAATGACGATGCACTCGAATTTGATTGAAACTCCTTCGAGTATTTTCCTGTCCTGAAATGTTTCTTTGAATGTTGGCTGAATCAATTTTTCTTCCATCTGGATAAATTCTTCGTTTCTTTTAAAATCACTAAGCGATTTCACAACTAATCTGGCAAAAGCTTTGGCCTCACCGTGTGTATTTATAGCTTTTGCTACATAATTGCCCTTATCTTTCGGTATCGTTGATGAAATTTCCAAAAAGGCTGTTCCATCTTTTCTTTCTCCAATCTGATATATTATGGCAATTTGACCATAAATATATTATAATCACGGATTTAAGTAAACGTTAAATAAAATGCAATCTGTGTCTAATATACGCACCAAAATCCTTTCGTTATGAATCATTTCACCATCATCCGAATACCATCTTAAATCAGATTTAGGTTCTCCAATTACGACACATTCGAAAATTGCATTTTCGCTTTCAGCCACCAACAAGTCCGTCGGAAGTTTAATGAATTTTGGAGCAAAACCGCTGGTAAGAGTTTCTTCCTGTTCTTTTGAGACGTGAGATGTTGCTACAAATGCAAGGAAAAATATTATGTATGAAATAATAAATTTTTTATTAAAAAAAGGATATAATTATACGTACGCATAATTGTTAATGTACACTGACTAGAAGCTTCGCCAGCGGAATTAATAGCAACTACTTTATATATACCAGCGTCATCCAAAAAAGCTTCATGAATAACTAACGAACACCGATCACCTTGAAAAAGTAATTGGAAGTCTGACGATTCTTTTACAGGCTGTTCATCATGATACCAAATTACCTAGAAAGTTACAAAATTAAAAAAAAATGATAAAAAGGTGAATTATAAGATGAATGATTTAGAAATAAATAATTTACCTCCGGTTCAGGTTGACCTACAATCACGCAGTCTAGCCTAGCTGATTGTCCTTCTTGAATTTCAAGATTTTGCAAAGGTAACTGAAATTTTGGAACTATTAGTTCTATATCACTGCAAACAAGCTCGGATTCACTGGTTTCATGAAGCCAACGTCCTTTCACAGAAACAATACAAGATGTTGTATCTTTCCCGATTTCATTATTGGCAGTCACCGCGTAAGATCCGGCATCTTTTGGAAAAGCTTCCGTGATGATCAAGCTTGTTCGGGCACCGTCTGTTCGAATCTGAATAAACACGCAAATTGATGATTATATCATATTAAATACATTAAAACATCATCGCTTATCTTACTTTATGATATTTGCTTTCTTCAATTAATTTTCCATCGTGAGTCCAGATTAATTTAGGAATTGGATCTCCGTTAGCTTCGCATTCTAGTTTCATTTTTTGACCTGCCTTGACCATAGCATTTGATAACGGTACCACAAAATATGGTTTCTTCACAGAAATTTGCGCGGCTAAAATTAATATTCATATAAATAAAAAGAAAATATACAATTTTTTTAATGCGTCATTACCTATGTTATTATTATAAACTTACGTTTCACGTCCAAATAAGCAGTAGTAGACGATTGTCCCCATTGATTTGCTGCTTTACAAGTATACGAAGCTTTGTCTTCCAAGAAAATTTCATCAAACTTTAGAACAGCTTCTCCATTATTAAAAGTGATAATATAGTCCGGAGAATTATCGATGTTGATATCATTTTTGTACCATTGTACTGTCGGTAGAGGATTTCCTTTAACAGTGCACTCTAATTTATGAGAGCATCCTTCCATCGCAAAAGAGGGCTGCAATTCTTTCACGAAAACAGGTACATTTGGCTGTTCTTCCGTGATAATTTCTACATTAAAAGTTTTTAACATGAACAATTAAATATTAATGTACGTACTAGTAATTAATAAAATTCGCACGTAAATCAGATTACCTTTGACAATGAGAATGGCCGATGTTTCGACAGAGCCATGAATATTAAATGCACGGCAAGTGTATTTAGCAGAATCCTCAGTAAATGTTTCTTCTATTTTTAAAGTACAAACGCCGTTTATATAAGTTGTTAAATAGTCTGGATTATTTAAAATCGATATTCCATCCTTGTACCATACTATTTCTGGTATCGGCTGACCAATTAGATGACATTCAAAACTGAATTCTTTGCCTTCTTGAACCATTGCATCATTCAAAGGAACTGTGAATTCTGGAGCTAATGAAATAATTTTGTTTATTTGTGTTTCTTTAGCATATTCGTCGCATATCTCTTCAGATACAAGCTTTTTAAATGGGCCAGCTTCTTTTTGAATAACTGGAACATCCTTTTCGATTTCCATCTATAATAATTATAAGTATAAATTTTATAGTTATAATACCAATAATTTAAATCTATCTTTAAAATACCTTTTGAAGAATATGAATTTCTTTCGTTGTTACAGCGGAAGTTTTATGAATTGTTTCTTCAACTATGGTCTCGTCAGTTTGGGCAGAGACGGAATGAGAAATGGAAGGAACAATTTTTCGTGCATGTTCCTCTTTTAATTTTTTTGCCTCTATCACAGCTTTGTCTAAAGTCTCAGCGGCAAGGTGTTCCGCAAGTTTTTTTGCGTTTTCCGCTTCTATCTTTGCAGCTTCCATCGCGGCCATTTCTATTTTTACAGCTTGTAACTTTTTATCAGCTTCTAACTTCTCGATTTGCAGCTTCTCTCGGAGATCTTTGGCATTCTGTAAATTTTGACTCAGGGTACGCAACTCGGAAGAAATAACTGCGAATGAATCTAGCATTTGCCGATTCTCTACTATCACTTCGTTAAATTGCGGAAGTCTGTCTGTACCTAAAACATTATTATGTTGCAAACAGATCATTTTGTATATTTATTTTATTCGTTAACGTATACTTTTTCTTAAATATGATGCCACTTTTACCGAAAACTATTGTCGATAATTGTTTCAACTTCTCAATTCTCTTTTCCTGTTGATCTTCACCTGGCTTTATATAAGCATCAATCTCTTGCAGTAAATCAATAGCTTCTTCAGACACTTTTACGGCTGTTGCTTTACGTGCAATAATCACCAAAAGTTTGTTACCTTCCCTGAACCACTGTTTAGCTTCTTCTAAGAGTATGAAATAATCATTACTTAAATGCATTCTTTTTTTGGTATCTCTAACATGTTTCCTCAGATGATCCCATCTGTTGCGCAGAGATAAAATTTCATCCGTCACTTGTGGAGTTAATGGAACAATTGTCTCTTCTGTTTTTTTTATAAAAGTTTCAATTCTTTTGTCTAAAATCTAGTAACAAATATTTAAATTAATATTATAATCTTTTTATAATTTCTTCATAATCACAAAATTACCGTAATAATGTAATTTACCGTTATTGTTTGCTCAAACTGTTCAAAAGCAGTTAATGTCGCTTTCAAAACTGATAAATTGTCACCAATTCTTCCATCCATATTTTTTAACTGTTCGTTTAATTCACGTAGATCGTAATTAATTTTTTCAATATCCTCTCTAAAAATACACAGATGCCGATGTTCTTCGAGACGGTTTGACGTTTCGGTTTGGAATAACTCAAATTTGATGCGTACAGAATCTATCGTGCGGTTCAGTTTCTCAATGTCTTGTGTTGCTGATTCTAGCGGTTCCTGTCTAATGTTGTCTATTATTTCTTCAGATTTTGTATGTATTTGTAATAAAGATTCCGTAATAAACGTTTTTAATATATTAAATTTATTTAAAGAACCATCCACATCAATCAACTTTGTAAAACTTGAGACGTGTTCAACTTCTTGTTTTGCTTCCTCAATTTTATGCTCAATCTTAAAAATGACGAATGAAGAATAATTTACATATTTCAAGGCATATATATAAATTAAATGACGTTGTATTGCATTTAAAATCTGTCTTACCTCTTCAAGATTTCTAAAGATAAAAATTAAAGATTCTAATAATATATCGTAATCTTTGATGACAGTGTTCATTTTTTCACGCATTTGCATGAGTTTTTCTAAAATTTGCTCGGTTGCTTTAGCTTCACCTAATTTAATTAATTATTTTAATTAAATATGACTTCTTAAATGCAACATAATACAAATATATTACACAAAAAGGAGGATGATGGAAGTCAGCGCGGAAAATAATGTGCAATGCTAAAAAAAAATATATATATATATATATA